CAGGACATGTTTATCTCATATGGCTCCTGAGATAATAATAATAAAAGGTGTATAACTAAGAACACAAGCATATACATTCAACAGTAAGAAAAACAAGTCTTAACAAATACATATGCTGAGAATAAAATGCCTCTCTCTGTGTCGTTTATGGCACTGGAACTACTCAACCCGGTACCACAGATTGAGTCCAGATATGGGATCATCACTCCGGTTGCGCTACATTTCCTTCATTTTGGGATTGAAACTGTTCACTTAATTGTGGTTTAGAAAGTGTTGCGTGTTAGGGGGAGAGAAAGGTCAGGAGGTCAGTGTGAAGAATGCCGTCTCCTCTTCTCCAGGGGTGTGGTTTTCCTCAGAAGTGACACTTTATGATCCTTATCTGGAGACCATCACCTCGCAGCTACAAGTTAGGACGCCAGGATATTTCTGCGTGGAGTCTGCATGTTCTCCCCGTGCAGCGTGGGTTCTCTCGCGGTGTAAAGATAATGGATAGATGGATATGATAGATGGATCCACTCTGTAGATGTTCCATTTTGGCGTGAGTTTTAGGTTAGCTGTCTTCTGAAATGGTTTCTTACCAGATTTACAGCTGTGGTAAAGGGTCTCTGGATTTTCTTTGTATTGCTATTGAATGTTCTGCTACTCGGTCCGCTACAGTGGTAACAATATGTCACAAAAACCAATAGAAACGATGGCAAATAAGAAAATAAGCAAAGGTTAATGCGGCAGAACTGCTCTGGAAATCTGTTGGCGCTGATTGACTGTCAACCTATCCAGGGTTATTCCTTTAGCTTTTAATGTTTCCCATGTATACTGAGATAGTATTCAGCCCTGCAATAAATAGAGATAAGCATGCATAGAAAATGGATGACTGACTGGCTCCTAGCCAGTTCTCAGGACCTGCAGTTTTGCAGCCCACTCATTTAAAATAAAGAGCACCATTTAGCCCTGGTGCACAAGAGTAAACACATGGGCTTTGTCTTGAAGGTTGCCACAGTTGAAGTAGATGGATAGTTTTTTTGTGTTAAAACTTGCTCATTTCATTGGAATTATATGATTCAATGCATATTTTAAGCCTTGCCTGCTTTGCTGCAAGCCAAACGCCCCATTATGGAGCATGTCTTAAAATGAAACTTCTCTTCTTGTTATTTTTAAGGTCAAAGGGAGAGATGAAACACCTCCCATTTGTGTATTCTGTGGATCTCTGAAATCAACAACTCCAAACCAGCTGACCACCATGAATGCCTCAGACCCGCTAGTGGCCAAGAACACCCCATTCTGCTTCTCCAACACCACCCTACCATTCAAGTTCAGCCCCAGCGTCACCTCAATCTACTTCTCATCCATCTTCATGGCTTTGGGTCTCCCCTCCAATCTCATCGCCTTTATTGTTCTCCTCAAATCCTTCCACCGGACATGTAGCCGCTCACGCTCTTTCTTCCTGATCTTCCTGGGCGGCCTTGTGATTACCGACTTCATGGGTCTCCTGGTCACAGGCTCCATTGTGGTCTCCTTCTATGTTACACATTTTAACTGGCAAGAGATAGACCCAAACTGTCATTTCTGTAACTTCATGGGTATGTCGATGGTCTTCTACGGACTGTGCCCACTGCTGCTCGGCGCCACCATGGCCATGGAGCGCTTCATTGGCATCAACCATCCATTCGCACGCTCCACCAGCATGCCCAAGAGCCGGACTGTGTCCATGGTGCTGATGGTGTGGTTCATCGCCGGCTGCATAGCTTTGCTGCCTTTAACAGGTCTCGGAAGCTACCACATACAGTTGCCCGGCTCCTGGTGTTTTTTCAACATCAGCTCAGAGGGAAATGACATGGCCTTCTCCCTGATCTTCTCTCTGGTCGGACTGGTTTGCATCGCTGTGTCATTTTTGCTGAACACAGTGAGTGTGGTGACCCTGATCAAGGTGTGCTGTGGACAGGACAGGACCCAACGGCGACGAGACCACGAAGTGGAGATGATGGTGCAGCTTATCCTGATCATGATCATCGCTTCTGTTTGCTGGTGTCCCCTTCTGGTGAGTTGTTTTTTTATTTATTTTTTTAAATAAGTAGACCATATGTATGAGGTGTGTCAGAAAAGTTTCAGGACTGGTGTCACAAAGCATATATTTCAACTACAAACTTTCCCCTTCCAAGTAATCCCCCTGGAGTCTAACACACTTCCCCAGCCTTCTCTGCCACGCCGCCATGCACTCCTGGAAGGATTCTTCCAGGATCCTCTGCAGCTCCATTGTCACAGCCATCTTGATGTCGTCCACGTCTTCAAACGGGTCCCCTTGATGACCCCCTTGAGCTTGGGGAAGAGGAAAAAAAATCCCACGGAGCCAGACGGGGTGAGTAGGGAGGTTGCTCCAGCACGGAGATGTTCTTCTCAGCCAGGAACTGTGGGATGCTCAGGGCGTTGTGAGCAGGTGCGTTGTCATGGTGAAGCAGCCATGACTCGTCCTGCCACAACTCTCACCTCGTCTGGCGCACTGAATGAAGCAAACACCACAGGATCTCTTTGTAGACGTGCTGGTTGATCATCTGAAGGGGAAAACTCCTAGTTTGTAGTTTGGATTTGAAATATCGTTTTTGACACCAGTCCTGGAGCTTTTCTGACACAGCTCGTATTTTTGTGTCCATATATATTTTTAGTTCAGTTTTAGTGGAAAATGCAGGATTTCACTTCGGTAATTTCACTTTTGTGTTTGGCAGTAAGTGAGAGTCAGACTGATTTGTTATAAGTTTCAAGAACTTTGTGGCTTTTGCTAAATTCTGCACTTCAATTGAAGACGACAGAAGACAAATTTATACCATTTCTTGAGTGAAGTTTTCACCAGATAGCCCACTTGATGCTAAAAGTCAGTTTTACTCCATTTTTAATGTTACTTCTTTCTTGCGTTCATCCTGTTCATCCTAACAGTATTACAAACACACACATTTATCGAGGGCAAATATGATAAATTAGTCATCGTGAATGGCACATCATCTGATATTTCAGTCCTACTTAAGTTTAATGCAATTCTCGATATGAATCTGGCCTACAGCAACTTAAAGGATATTACAGAATTTCTCAAGCCGGATTCAGTCACTGAAGCAATTTTATTATCTCTGCATATGAATAATTTCTATACAATGGTTATCTTTTGGACAAAAACCTTCCTTAAACTGCCTTTTTTCCAAATGTAATTCTCATAGGAGACAAATTTATATGGCGAGGACCCACTGAGTGAACTGACACATAGCTGTAAAATAAACGGAGCATTCTGGTCTTGTTAAAGCGCTATTGGCCTCCACAGGAAGGTCTTTGGCCCTGCTTCAACCTGTGTAAATGTTTGTGGGCCTCTGTAACTGTAGTCTGTGGTCTGCTGCAGCGTGTGTTGTGTGGTGATAAGACCAATGGAAGAGTGTGTCTTATTCTGTGCAAGACAGAAGGGGAATATCTGTTTACTCCGTCCTTCATTTCTTGTATCTTTACGCTCTTTTTTTAGTAGTGTATGCACTCCTTTGACAATAAACTCTACTTTGATCATTTTGGAAATACATAGGCTGAATTTTGAGGAAAATTATCCACACAGCAACACCAGTCAGGAAGTAATTAACAGGAAGATTACAACAATATTGATTCATAATATTTTAAGGCCTTCTGTCTTACAGTTTCCACCAGTTGCTGTGTGGAAAATGTTTCTCACATATATGAAAGCACCCAGCGTGACCTGAGCCATCCAACTCGTTTTGTTATCAGCGCTGCTCTTCAAATGTTTGAACCGTAATGAAGCATCACAAGATTCTAAGCTCCTTTTCTCGGCTTCGCTCTATATGCTTCATTTCTTCTTGGCAATGAAGCTTCCTGACTAGCTGATCTGACAGCCTTTCTGCTCTCGCCCCGGATCAAAGAACTACTTAAAGCCTGACCTTAAATGAAACAGTTCAGCTCCAGAGCATGATTGAAAGAGTGCCTTAAAAGGAAAACTAAGCCATTACAACTACGACATGTCATGAATAACTTTAAAAAAAGGTCAAATAGGGAAGCAAATGCATGTGGTCTGACAATCATACGGGTTGGAAATTAATCTAAAGAGCAGACATATTATTTGAAAACAAAATGAAGGATGGAAACCCAACTGTCTACTGTTATCTACAGCTGGACAACACAGTGGTACTTTAGCTAATCTGGTTAAAACTATCTGCATCCTTCCAACCTTTATGACTGTCTGACTGTTTTTTTGTCTCTTTGGTCCTTCTGGAAAAATGCTCCAAAATCTCAGCAATTACTTTGACTACAGTACGAGGTGTGTCAGAAAAGTTCCAGGACTGGTGTCACAAAACATATACTTCAAACCCAAACTATAAACTACGGCCCTTCAGATGATCAACCAGCACGTCTACAAAAAGATCATGGCTGCTTCACCATGACAACGCTCATGCTCATAACGCCCTGAGCATCTGACAGTTCCGGGCTGAGAAGAACATCGCCGTGCTGGAGCGACCTCCACACTCACCCCATCTGGCTCCGTGGGGTTGTTTCCTCTTCCCCAAGCTCACGGGGGTCATCAAGGGGACCCGTTTTGAAGACGTGGACGACATCAAGATGGCTGTGACGACGGAGGATCCAGGAAGAATCCTTCCAGGAGTGCATGGCGGCAGAGAAGGCTGGGAAGTGTGTTAGACTCCAGGGGGATTACTTCAAAGGGGAAAGTACGAAGATACATCTTTTGCGACACCAGTCCTGAAGCTTTTCTGACACATCTCGTATTGTAAATGTATGAAAAAGATACAACCCATGTTTTCCTGTTAATCATACTAGCTGAGCTGTGTTGACTATTGTAGATTTGGGGTAAAGCACATGCTTGCAGAAGCAACATCAAGACTTCTCAAATTAGGTTCCTTTCCATTGATCAAACTGTCTTATTTGTTTCTCTTTCCATTTTGAATACTTGACGGGGTCCTTTGATAACTCCACAAAAACCCTTCCACTATTATGCAAACATGTCATGCTGTATGGATCTGTGCTTTAAGCGTAGAGAAGTTTAAAGCCCCTACCTGTGGAGTTGATTTAGGATCTTTTTGTTACAGCATCTACCAGACTGTCATTTTTGATGCCACCACTAGGGGTCTCTAAAATCTATAAGTCAATCACAACCATAGGGGCTTTAAACTGAGCACATCCCAGTAAGAAACAAGCAAGATCAAAGTCCCTGACTGGAAAACCTGTTTGTCTACAGTCCTGTCTAACCTTAGTTGTGTGATGCCCTGCACAGATTTATATTCTGACCAGCGTGGTGACTTCCACTTCTGTAACACCTGAAAAGATTTTGTTCTTCATACGAATGGCTACCTGCAATCAGATACTTGACCCCTGGATATACATCATGTGTCAAGTGTCCCGACTGAGGCGAGTAAAGAACAAAACAAAGTTGTCCACATGTAACAATGGCATAGCTTACCCACAGTCCACTGCTCACCTCCATCGTACTTTAAGTCTGTGCTGTCCTTTGCCGGCTACATCCGCATTTTCCAAGCATCTGCTAATGGAACTCAGCGAGAGACTCGTTTTTGCATTGCAGTTTACTCTTCACCTTGCAGCTTCCAAAACATTTCTCATGAGCTCATAGAATAACCAAGAGCATGCTTCAATGCAGTTCATGTCCCATCTTGTTTTTTTCCCCCCTTCATTTCACTCCAAGTCAGTTAATAAACATTTCACCGAAACAGTTTAATCCATTGTCACTGTTGTTTATTGCCCTTGCACATTCTTTCATTTCCTGAAGCAAACCAGATGGTTTCTCGTCGAAACCACGATTGCAGACTGTAGCTTTATTTAGTTACTCGAGCATTTCTTGAGAGCAGAGCTGCAGAAGTTGTTACCAAAAAGAGTTAAACATCAAGAAAGTTGCTCCAGAAAAAATGCAAATCAAGCTACAGCAAGTTATCTACAGTCAGGCCTGTTTGACGCTCAGCACTTGAAATAGTCTCGTTTCCAGCAAACAACATCATCATCGCCGCTCTTCAGCCACTAAGTAAGCCACTAAGCTAACTGGCACTCTGCAAAACTGTGGAGTCCCCGGAGCACCTTTGCCGCTGAGAAAAGTTCACCCTCACAAAAACTGTGGTTTACACTTCAAGAGCCAAGACTTGCCCGCAACAATTTTTGAACACTTTGAAGTGGATTTAGGTAACTATTTTCCTCCGCTGCTTGGATGTAAACCACAGGAGAACAGGATTCTGACACCAGCTGAATTTTGAATAGGAACTTTAAGCAACACTAAGCCAATTTGTCATTCCTAAAGGAGCTTGTTAGCATGTTTTGCCCTCACAGGAGACTGTTTTGGTAATGCTAATAAGGCTATGCCTCACATAAAATGCTGCAGCTTAACTAAAGCAGGGGGGATAATTGTTTTACAGCAGCCACTGCCTCAGGAGGGCCATGGCAAAATTAGCCCTGTCATTCCCTTAGTGGACTTAACACATAGTGAGTGTCCATTTGCATTTGCAATATTAACTAAATTCACCTTCCTTCTCTCATTCCCTATTTCTAATCTCTTCTTCTAACTCTTTTAAACTGTAATTTGCTGTCCCTTGTAATTTTCTTCTTGTAACTTTCTGTCTTTAACCACCTCATTCCTTGCCACTCCTGTCTTCCATTTCTTTCCTCTCTGTGGTTCTTCTTGTCTTAATCCCTTTGTCTCTGTCACCCCTCCACCTATCCTCCACAACCAGGTCTTTATCGCTAAAACTGTGCTGTCCGGAGGACCTCTCCAGGTCAGATACCTACTGCTATGGCTCCGCTTCGCCACCTGGAATCAGATCCTAGACCCATGGGTGTACATCCTGTTTCGCAGGTCAGTTTTTAAGAGGGTCTACCCCCGCCTCGACTGGTCCCGGGGCTCCGTCATAAGCCTGTACCCATCTTTCAGCGACACCGTCCGCAGGTTGACAAGAGCTTCACTCAAGAGCACCCTGGGCTCGGATGAAACAGACGGGACAGAGAAATCAAATGTGACTCCCATATCTGCCTTAAAGGCAGAACCTCCTTCTCCTTGATGGACTAGATGCAGTAGACTGTGTGGCATCATCAGGGTCACAGCATATGTTTGACTGTTTCCACTTTGATTTTTCAGTGGCCTGTGACCAGGATACTTTGGAGGATTGCACCAGTAATTTGAAAGGAAAAAATCCTGCTATGTTATTGCATATGCTTTGAAATGTTTTGCAGTATCAGTAATGACACTTTGTAGATGTACTGTTTTGAGTTTTAAACATTATGTCACAGTAGATAAACTCATTTAGGTGACTGCTGTCATGCAATGTTTCAAATCTGTGGGGCAAGATGTCCTTTAAACCCACGAACAGTTCAACCACACAGTGTTTAATATCGCATTCTCAGTATTTAACTTAACATGTTGGGGAGGCTGTATGGTGGATCGGTGGTTAGCACTGTTGCCTCACAGCTAGAAGGTCGCTGGTTTGCGTCCCAGTGAGGACACCTGGGATCTTTCTGCGTGGAGTCTCCATGTTCTCCCCGTGCAGCGTGGGTTCTCTCTGGGTCCTCCGGCTTCCTCCCACACAGTTCAAAAACATATTGAGGTTAATTGGTGATTCTAAATTGTGAATGTGAGTGTGCTTGGTTGTCTGTCTCTAAGTGTAGCCCTGTGATAGACTGGTGACCTGTCCAGGGTGTCCCCTGCCTTCACCCTGAGTCAGCTGGGATAGACTCCAGCCCCCTCGCGACCCTAGTGAGGATTAAGCGGTGTATAGATTATGGATGGATGGATGTTGGAGGAAACCCTTGAATGTTCATAGCAACAGAAAAAACGATGAACTCCAAAATCATCAAACACTGAAAACTGACTCCTGAGCGTGTGGAGATGCTTAGAAGTAAAAATGGTTTGACCAAAATGACATGTATCAAGCACTTTCAGTACTATTTCCATTTCATTACAGGAATTATTATATTCTGTATACATATTTATGTAGATGATACTGTCCTTTATTGTGACACTGGAGATACTTCAACATCGCATGCCACTGAAGTTGTTTTCAAATTATCAAGAGGGGAATTTCCAAACTTCCAAACCCTGTTGCTAACTTGAACTTCACAGATTTGTGTAAAAATGCTAAAGAGCATTTTTCCGTCATTAGTTATCCCTGACTAGAATCTTCTATTTCAGTCTTTGTGCTTTTCTGTCACTAATGAATACATGTAAGTTTGCCAGAAGAATTAAGGTTAGACTATATGGAGTGCATATAATTTATGTAACTGTAAAAATGGAAAATTATAAATTACAGCGTTAATATATGTCATATATAGTCAAAACTAATAATAAATAATTTGAACTACTTTCAAATGATGCATGAAACTAACTAAATAAATAGGATGAAATGTCAAACTGCTATTTTAAAAAAGCCTGATGTCGAGGTTAGACATTTAGGGAAACTAATATTTAGAAAGCATAATTGTTGTTTTTCCCATCACGGTCTAGGTTGCCTGTTACCTTTTACAGTGTTCGGTGATATTAGATATGGACAGTAACGTGTTACTTGTTTAAAAGGCAGTGTTACTACCTTACCGATTTCTCATTGTATTGCTGGTTTGCATTTGTTCTCCTCATTGGTGATTTTAAATTGTACAATGTGTGTGTGTTGCATGAATATTGATATTAGACAAATGTTGTCCAAAAAATATGGTCAGCGAATGGTTGGGTGTACCTAAGAGTATCTGTGCATCATGCAGATGTTTAAAGGTTTTTCAGTAGATGTCAGCTGAGAAGGTGTTTATGTGGACAACATTCACAAATTGAAGCAGGATTTGCTTGTTTAAACGCATCCAGTTTGATAATTTTACCATTTTAGCCGTGAAAATCAAAGCTAAATTGTTTTTTATCCTATCTGACACTACATGATTGCTTAGTTATTCAGATATGCAGAGTGAAATATTCACACTGATCCTGTAAATAAATTGTTTTGAACATTGCATTATCACTTACGTCAATTAGACTGTCACCCAATTACCGGACAAACAACTGAACCAGTCACGGATAATGGCTCGGATGCGTCTTGTCCCAACTCCTTAGCAGTATCTTCCAGTGAAAATGAAGCGTACAGGTTGAATGTGCTCGACGGAAAACAGCATGTGATTGTACATACAAATAAAGTGAAATGCAGAAAATCTGTTTGGAATCGACTTTTCTTTGAAACACACACACACACACACACACGGGCTTGACAGCTGTGACTTTATCCACTTTATTTAAAGATTAAACATGTAAAATGTGCCGTACATTTTCAGGTCTTCATAAAGGGGGAGAAATCATATACAAAGCGTCAAAACAAAACATCACTACCTGATGATAAATACTGATGTAGCTCAAATTCTGCAGCCAGGAGACAAACTGCAATTTTGAAATTTCGCAGTACTTGCTTATATGTTTGCAAAAAAAAAAAACAGGCGTGAATTTTGTCCACATTGTCTGATGTTGCCTTATTTTCACAGTAAATACTCTCCGATGCAGAGGCACAAAAAGAGTAACACTTTGAAATGAGGAGCAGTGATGCCAAAGTATCACAAACTGCTGCAGTATATTTACATTCTCTTTCTGTCTCTGTCTTTGAAACATGGCAAAAGTGGAAAGCAAGCGAATACGCGACATATGTGATGGTGTTTTATTTTCAGTGAGCACGAAAACCTTCATGTCTTTCTGGAGAAAACATTGCGAGGAAATCCACGGAGACCGTTTACATGCACACAAGCATAAGCACAAACACGCACGGAGCTTATGTTTTCTTCTTTTTATTGTGGGCAGTTAAGGGCCGAGTTCGTGTTTGACAGTCACGACGATGCGGGAAAATCTGAATTGCAAATCAGCGAGGTACAGCTGGAGACTGGTCCCTTGGTATTACGTTCTCAGGTAATCTATTTGTTTATTGTCTTAAAGCTGATATTTTTGCAAGTTCGAGTTCAGATTAGTCACCTACCGGAAGATGGAGAGCGTTCAAATTGCAACTATTTTTTTGAATTTTGAGGCCACTTGGGTAAATCACTTGCAGAGATGCAGCAAACAGAAGCAATATGTTCTGACTTTGAAATGAAAAATGTTCTTTTCCTGTTTTTCCTCAGTAGGCTTTCATTAGAGGGGAAAACGTTTAGCGGCACTTTTCAGACTTCCTGGATTCCTAGATGGTTCACTGATATCCACTGCTGCAGTTCGGTAACATGCTGTTCTAAAACACTTCTTTTACATCAGGGGTCTCGAACTCTGGTCCTCGAGGGCCGCAGTCCTGCAAGTTTTTCCTTCTTCCAACACACCTGATTCACATGATCAGGATCGTTATCAGGCTTCTGCAGAGCTTGACGATGAGCTGATCATTTGAATCAGGTGTGTTGGAAGAGGGAAACATCTAAAACTTGCAGGATTGCGGCCCTCGAGGACCGGAGTTCGAGACCCCTGTTTTACATGATGTTCTATACGGGTCGTTTTTTTTAAACTTCTGCCTTAAATCCAACTTGCAAAAATGCCTGTGAGCCTGCAAACGTTACTATCACTCTTTCCTACCCTTGAGAAGGTCATCAGCTCTGATTTCAATATGTTTAAAACTACTGTGCTGTTTTTCAATGTTTTGTATTCGTTGTAAAGTCTTGACAAAATTCAGGAATTCAGGCGTGATGAGCTGTTATGGGCAAATTATTGACATTTGATTGTTGAAAAGGAACTGAAAAGAAATTAACGGATCGCATTGACAACAATAAAACACTCCTACATGTGACTTTTTTTTTTTTTTTTTTTACAACTGAGACCGGAGCTTTTCCTCTCTCTTTACAGTAAAAGCCTAAATTCTGCCATTTTTGACATCTCCAATAGCTCCCCATACATCAAACAAAAACACATCAGGGAAAGCAAAGTCTCCCAGAACTGAATCCAGCGCCTCGGCAAAGTCATCTGGATTCTTCTTGTCTTTGCCGGCTTCGACGATTGTGGTTGCTGCAGAGAAAAAAGGGGACACGAGCGTGCATTTTCACAGACAATCCAAGGTTAATATTTTTACAGTGGAGATAATTTTCTTTCTGAGCAGCCAAAGCTAATACAGCAATCACCAAAAAGTAATAATTTTTTCGAAGCTAGTTTGCAGTTATTCAGGAATGTCCCCTTTTAAGGTTGTATTCGAGTTTTCCAAAGAAACACCCACACTGTTATTCTGTTTGGTTTAACAAACCAATGACAGAGGCACTGGCTGTTCCCAAGAATGATAGGTCAGAGTATATTTGGGCACACATTACACTTTGGTGGTGCATACATGTGGAAAACTCTGACCAAAAAATATTACGTTCGATATGTTTTTTGCATATGGGCTTTTAAAGACATAAAAGATTAAAACACACCATCTTCATGTGCAGAAAGTACATGCATACAGAATTTCAAACACGCCCCTATAAAGCTGGATTCATTTTGATGGTCCGTTTGAAATTCAAATCAGCTAATCAGCAAACATAATGAATAGATCAGAATTACATAACAGCACAATGTCCCAGTGAAGAGCTTTAATCCTCATTTTAATGCACTAGACCACTATTTAAATCTGCTCTCGTTCATGTGTCATGATCATCTCTGTACGTACATGTTTGGCCTAAACAACAGGACCTTAGGGGGAACTTGTATGCTAATCAGATTTTTATGTGCCTGAAGATATCTGTTTTGAAAAGGATGACTTGCATTCCCCTCGATGCAACGTACAACTGAATATTCAAGCGCAAAGACTTCACAGAGCAACCTTATCTTGTCTCTTTATGCAAATGTTCTATGAAATAATAAGTTTGTTTTTTTTTCTCCGGAATAATACCGTCCTCCCACATAGCACTTGGATTCAAATATGCAACTATTTTTATTGGAGCAATTCCAAGCTAACAGGGTGAAAAGCACATTAATAAATCATTAACTCATCTTAAATGAGGTCCAAGCGGTCAAATCTCTGTTTGAAAATCAGGCCACTTGCTTTAAAAGTCTCTCTCAACATCTCAGCACAATTACCAACAGCTCGTTTTTGATCTTCATTTGTGATATTTATTAGAAATAAACGCAAATGGCCCACTCTTGATGCTGTCAGTTACTTTTTATATCTACTAACATTATTTTTTATTATTTCATTACTGACCCTGACTAAGAATCCTAACTTTAGGTCCACTGAGTGTTTTTATCTGAATGGCCTTCTTTAGCTGCAGGTTGCTCAGCTGAGCATGAAATGACTTGCATTAGATGTCCATAGACAGCTGGGCAACTCTCTCAGCTGAGGAAGAATATCAGATGTGGATAAAAGCTCTAGAAAAAGCTACTGATCTTAGGAATGAAGACAATTATTTCTTCCTCGACCAAAAAGCATTAAGAGAAAAAAAAAGACGCCCGCTTATGTCAAATTAAAGGTCAAAAATGTTTGGGAAAAACAAGTACACAAGAAATACTAAAATACTGCACAGCTGCTCAGTGGATGCACATTCCATCACTGTGGTATGTTCTGAGGAGGTATTTTGCCTAAATTCATGTCAGAAAGTCAGTGTGGCACCACGAACAGCAAAACCACAGTGGATTCCGGTGCCTTCTCGGTTTGTTTGTTAACATCTGTCCAAGCCCGGATCGCTTCCTTATGAAGGTAAAGTCTATTTTAAGGATGCTGTGTGTTATGTGGGTGGTCTTACCCAGCTCCAGGTCTCTGATGCCCATGTAGCTCTCCAGCAGGTCGTCCACTTTCTTGGTGGCCTGTTCCTCAAACTCATTCTGCTGGAAGAGCAGAAAAAAAAAACACAGAGGTGTTTCTGGAAATGTAGTGGTGTTCCTACTCTAAATATAATGACGGAAAGTCTCTGAGAGCATATGTTCTCATGCCAAACCATGTAAGGGCAGAGAATACAAAGTTATATGAATACTATATATCAAAGCATATTATAATATATCAATATAATATATATATATATATTAGGGGTGCACACTATATCGGCGAACACATCGGTATCGGCCAATATAATTTATTTTTTTTCCCCATACAGTCATGACTCGATAATCCGATACTAAATGTAAAACCGTCTTTTATGTTGGATAGCAAGGCTGTCGGATTGTCAAGACGAAGGTCAAGATACAAGGAGGGCTTGATGCTTGAAGGCTCATTTGTTGTTAAAATTCATTGTTTATAGTTGTTATAATAACTAGTGTATTGTTAGAACATTACACATCGCTGGATTTCACACCTAATTGAGCGGTGCACTTGTGCACGTTCCAGCCACTTCCACCCCGGGGGAGCGCTCCAACAGGGTGAAAGTGGCCGGAACATAAAGGCAGTACTTGGCTGCTGATGCTGGTTTAGTTAGCGATCACAGTTTTGTTTCCACCATCGGTGGCGACGGGGGAGTGGCAGATACACTCCACCGTTACCATCCATGTTTACTTCCGTAAACACTGATCACACTCGCTGCGTGTGACGTCATCGTGTCCTCTTCTGCACATGCAGGATACTTTTGGGTCGTATGAAGTTCACACAGCAGATCACATACAAGTTGCATTTAATTGGAAATGTGAACGAACTTGCAAGAAAATCGTATTTCACGCAAAAATCCGAATTGAGCATTAAGTCCTGCAGTGTGAACGTAGCCAATCTGTGGGATTGTTCAGTCAGATAATACACCGTTATCCTGACTGGTGACAGAAAATGTCATGTTGGAGTCCGAATCCAAGGCTGTCGGTATGTTAAGGCTATTTTTAATGGGTTCCGATCATTTTTCCTAAAAACCTGTCGGATAGCAAGGCTTTCAGATTATTAAGGGTCGGATTGTGGAGTCAAGACTGTATGTTGGTATCAGTCCGATGAACATATTTAGCCGATGTGAAAAAACGATGATTGTCGTCTCTACATTTGATATTGCTGCTGTTTCATTGATGTTTTTACTTAAATGTTCCTGGACTTGAACGTTAAATATGTTAAAATATGTTTAAATATGTTTTACTTTTGTTACAAAATAAAGAAGACTATGTGGTTTCTTTTGAATAGTTTTCACATTCTCACAGTGCTTACTTATACTCATTTGTCAGTGTGAACAAAATCGATAATATCGGTAATCTGCGATATCAGAAATCTTAATATCGGATATCGTATCGTCCAGAACTTTTAATATCATGCATCACTGATATAAACCCTCAGTATCACTGTAGATGTGAACTCAACAATGTTAACAATGTCAAACTCCCCCGTGAACTGTATGGTCTTTTAAATTTTTATACTTCGTCTTGTGCACCTTTGTCCTGTTGTTTTGCCTACGAGAGCTGCTATCTCAAATTTTGTTGTCTTCTCGTACAATGACAATAAAGAGATTCTGCTTCTAAAGTGATGTAGTCTGGAATTCATATTAAAAATCAATGTATTGTTTAATATCCTGCACTGAAGTATCGGAAATAAGAATGACTTTGGCTACGAAGGCCACTTCCTGCTTCTTTGTTTCATTATGTGTGACAAGAGTCAACTGGAGGCCTTCGGTTCAGTTCGGTTCATGTCAGATCTGTATTGTTCCATGTGAGTGTTCAGCACAGAGAAAATCTTTAATTCAATGTTTTAGACAAGATAAAAATAAAAAATAATAAAAGATCCAATAACCAGATGAGAAGACATTTCAATCAATCTGTTTCTAATACTCTTTGTGGATGCTTCTGATGACATGCGTCTGTTTGAGTACAGCAGGAAGTTAAGTCCTTCATTGTCCAGCAGAGTGTGTGAAACTTACCACTTCCTGAACTGTAGCAGAACCCTTGGAGCGAAGTCGCAGCGTCTCCTTCCCGTTGACCATCTTGCCCTCATTAGATTTTGGCGCTCTGGTCCTCATTCCGATCATATCTAACCACACATGCAGAGCGAAAATAATTAATCATGTTCAGTTATTCATGTAAGTAAGTGGCGACATGGTTTCTTTTTTACCAAGCACACCCACCTATGCTTTCAAATTAGATTTCCTTTTTGTCTCCCTGTGCCCGTTCAACCGTTGCGGCTTTCACTGCTACCTACCAAGATATCATTTTTTTTTTATTTCCCAAGAAACTCATGGGATGCCAGAAGTCAGAATTCCTCCCACGCATCACTTGTTATGCAGCACATTTTTGAGAAAGACACATTTAGCCAAAGAGACCAAAGCAACATAATTTCCTTGTTTGGACGTGCGCCTCTTTTCTCACAAATTAATAAACATCCGACCAGTTGCAAGTGTTTATTTATACAGCGCCACATCATAGCACAAGTCATCTCAGGGGGGCACTTTACACAACGAGGTCAAGCTCTTACAATATTACACCCAGAAACGCAACAGCTTTTGACGGGAAGAAACCGCCAAACAGCACCAGAACGAGGGTGGAGAGGGGAGAGAGAAAAGAAGGAAACACAACTAATAAGGGCGCCCCGGTAGCTCAACCGGATAAGACCGCCACCCGCCAACAGGGGCTAAAGTCCCACACGCAGTGATCGTGGGATCGACTCCCGACCAAGGCCATTAGCTGCAGGTCTTTTCCCATTCTTCCCTTTCCTGTCTCTCTCCACTGCTCTGATAAATAAAGGCAAAAGCCAAACAAACAAATAAACAGTAAACACTAGTGAGGCCAGTAAAAGCAAATCTGAAATGTGCAAGTCTGGAGCTACAGATACATGCAGAAAAGAGAAAGAGAACCGAGAGGATAAAGCACAAGCTGCAGGAGAGAGGAGACACACAGGTAATGACATGCAACAGTGGCATGTAAATGCACCGAGTGTGAAAGACAAGAGAGTAGAGGAGAGCCGCTCAGTGCATCACGGGACGTCCTCCAGCAGCCCGGGTCCACAGCAGCATAACTAAAGATGGTTCAGGGTCACCTGACTAAGCTTTGGCGTAAAGGAAAGTTTTTAGCCTAATCCTGAGAGCAAAGAGGGCATCTGCCTCCCAAACCCAAACTAGGAGCTGGGCCCAGAGCCGAGGAGCCTGATAACTGAAGGTTATAGGCTGAAGTGGTTTATTAGGATAATATTGTACTGTGGGTTTTTATGATACAATGGAGCGTGGTCATTTGGATGTAAAAGAGAATGATTTTAAAGTCTAGTCTTGGTTTTACAGGGAGCCAATGAGGAGAAGCAAATATGGGAAAAATACGATCTCTCTTGCTAGTTCGTGTCACTATTTTGGATCAACTGTATGGTTTTGGGGGCTGCAAGGTGGCTCTGTGGTTAGCACTGTTGCCTCGCAGTTACCGGTTCGCGTCCTGGTGAGGACACCCAGGATCTTTCTGGAAGGAGTTTGCATGTTCTCCCCCGTGCAGCGTGGGTTCGAGCAGTGAATGTGAGTGTGCTTGGTTGTCTGTCTCTAAGTGTAGCCCTGTGATAGACTGGTTACCAGGGTGTTCCTTGGCTTCGTCCAAAGTCAGCTGAGATAGACTCCAGCCCCCCACCTCGACCCTAGTGAGGATTAAGCGGTGTATAGATAATGGATGGATGGATGGACGGATGGATGGATGGATGGTTTTGGGATTTGGGTATTGGGACACTCTGACATTAAGGAATAGCTGTAGTCCAGTCTAGAGTCAGGACTAGCTTCTCATCATCACTCAGAGACAGGATGCTCCTAATTTTGACATTTCTGACATTTCATTTTGATATTTCTCAGGTGAGGCCGTCCACTTATTGTCCTCAAATAAGTGATGCTTGGCTCTAAGGTGAAACTGTCAGTACCAATAAATTTCAAGTTTATTGTGTAGTTAGTGGTGATGTCGTGTCTCATCCACAGAAAAGTCTACGTCAGAGCCAGTCATAGTCATTTAATGTATTATAATGTTCCTAGTAAATGTAGAATTCTGCATTACAGAAGATGTGACTCACGGAGTTCCAGTCCATTTGCTGCCTTGTAACCGATAACTTTGTTTGTGTTCACAATAAAGATGTGGACAGTGAATCAGCCGCAAACATCTACGGGAAACTATTACACCAGCATAACTGCAGTCTTTTCTTTAGCCGCATAAATTGAAACATCAGCTTGTGTGTAATAGAGTTCACCTTTGTTGGTCCAAAGCCAAGACTGCAAAATGGATTGAAATGATTTTGGCAACTTTTCCTCGAGCAACACCTTAAGTTTGAATTTTTTGGTTCTCAGTGAAAATTATTTGATTTAAATTAAATGCGGTTCGAACATCTGCCGAGTAAACTGAATCCGGCTCTCGCTATCATCAGGATAAATTAAAGTTTTTTTTTAAATGATGACCTTTACATCTAATAACAATTTCATCAGCCTCAGCTATTACTGTGTTTCTGTTTATTGCTAGTTACTCTTAACGCTTATTAACATATTAAACCACGACTGTAAACATGGCAAACTTTATAGCTCGTAAACATCTGCGTGTTTAGAAACTGTGAGCATATTAACGGGCTGATATTAGAATGTGGCACAAAGCAGCGCCACAGACAGTCGTTCACATGGCTGTAGGAGTTATTTTAAGCACACACCCCGGGGCTCTGTGAAACTACACATCTGTTTAGTTAGACAGGCCACTCATTCCTATAGGAGAAGTCAAAAATGTGCTCCAGAGGGAAGTCAAAGGTCAGCATGTGCCAGGAAGCAACTACTGTCTGTTTGTTTTTCTGCGTGTTCAGACAGGACACTTTTATTTGCACATTTATTTTTGATCACATGCATTTGAGTGTGGCGGTGACGAAGCTCAAATGAGGAGAAAACACAAAAACACATAATTTTCTGTGTTTTAGAGGCCTGAAAGTTGTTTTGTTTGTTGCTTTTTTGTGTTTTGTTTTTTTTTAATTGCTGCTAAATGTTGTGTTTTTGGCTGCTGGAACCAAAAGCAAACTATACTGTGTGATCTAAAGCTATCAACTTTGATTTTTCTTGTATTTAAATCTGAGTAATTTCTGTTTTTTTCTCGTGTTGTCTCTTAGCCAAAGGGAGAATTAATTCCGAGGGGTGTCAAGCAAGCATGACACAGAGATCACAAACCCCCCGGCAGAGCCTTAAATACATAATATTCAAATAAATACTATATAAACACAAGAACAAGGAGACCAACTTCAATGGTCCTCACTTTACAAAATCCAGATTATATAGTTCCAAGGCACAGTAATGAACCATCTGCATCCTACAGTCCCACGATATGGGAAACAACTGGGGTTATTCAATTCAATTCAATTCAATTTTCCATTCAATTTTGTTTGTATAGGGCAGTTTATAACATATGTCATCACACAGCGCTTAACATGGTAAGGTATAGACCTTACAAATTTAAACAGAGAATCCAACAATCCAAAGTTGCCTTTGGACTCCCTCTGAGCAAGCAGTTGGCAACAGTGGGAAGGAACCAAAATCCCCCGACAAGGGAGGTGGGAAAAAAAACTCTGGCAGAACCAGGCTCAGGAAAGGCGGCCATCTGCCTCGACCGGTTGGGTGAGAATGATTGGTTATTTAATAGATGGTTATGAAATTGAACTGTTTTAAAAAGGAAGGTGGTTGGTGAGGAGGAGGAGATTTGTCAATCTGCAGAGGCTGGTGTAGCAGCGATGTGGTGAGCGTGAAGCGGGCAGAAGGAATGAACGCTGCCTTGGTTATAAAGCACGCTAAGTGGGTAGGCTGGACTTTAGCAGAGAACGATTGGACAGAAAGGGCCTTGTGACGCCCTGGCTCCTGTCTGAACTAACGCATAAGCTCTACGTCTTAAAAATCAATCTATTAGGTGTAATACATGCGGGTGGTCGGAAATTAAGTTTATGTGACTCACTTGTCTTTATAATTGTCACATGAAGTAGCTCTTGGCACAAACATCCAAAATCTTGTAAATCTTTCTCACACAAAAAATAGTTTTCCCCTCTGTATGTGTATAAGCATGTGATCGGGAATTTGTGTTCACCAAGAGTAAACAATTAGTGTCATATTAACTCTATGCATTAAATCTAATCCATCGTATCAGGATTAGGCAGCCTAAAGAGTGTGTGTGTGTGTTTAAATGATTTCATTTGCTGGTGTACCCACATAAAAACTGTGGTAGATATATACAGCAAACTGAGGGGAATTGTTTCATCACCTGTAGCAGAAAATAGACTGTGACGTGGAGGTCACACCACAAACTGACAGCTCGCCCACGCGAAAGCGGCGAGGGCTGGGAATTTGATGTGATGTGTGGCTACTCGCGGGACTAGTGCATGGATGCGTTCAGGAGAGCTAGATACGGCGCTGCCACTCAGCCTTGCTGCTAAATTGTCCCGGTGGCCACTCGAAAAAATGCCCGATAAAGCCTTTTCCCATAGACCACCGGTAAAACGAAGACATGTGTGAAACTGACAGACATCTTCAACGGTAAACTGTGTCTCCTGAAGGTTTGTATTTGTAAGTTTTTCCCAGAGAACAGAAAAGTGATTTTTATTTGTTTAACCTTATTGCAATATAAAGGTTGAGAGGGAAGCTGTGTGTGTGCAAAAGGCCACATAATGCAGAAGTAAATCCAAAGGCTAAAAAAAAAAAAAACATTTTGGGAGGTTTTGTTGTGGGAGTTTTTAGATTTGAACAAAAGACTAAACTGGAGATGTGATTAGGATGTCTAAATCAGGTTTAATCGTACAATAAGACAAAAAGCATGATGTGTAAGATTTAGGCGTAAATAAATAATGAGATTAGATAGTATGACATGTAAATTATATCTATGAATATACTAAACGAACTTGTGTAAAAAAAACCCAACCCAATGAAAATCTACCCAAGCCCGAGGCCAGAATACAGCAGGCCGGACGCTTTCCCTCGTTCTGCGTTTGTGAGTTCAAAATTAGGACACCGTGGCCTTGAACGACCTGGGAAAGACGGTGCCCGGGAAGCAAAGAAAACCCCATCGCTGAGCAGAGGGAGGGGAACGGCACAGCTGCAAATTCTTAAATTGCACACTGCTAAGCGAGAAATATTGCTGACTACGGACTTTCTGATGGGAATAGAAAAATAATGGTTTTTCCTGGTAACGGAGAGGAGTTGGACAAAGTTCGCGAACGTGTACGACGATACAAGATGCATTGCTAGCTAGCCAAGTCTCGACATTTTGCTCATGTTTGTTCGTGCAGCCACTGTATGGAATAAACATCATTCACATCAGACTGTTTGAAGATTTTTTCCTCCTCATATATATTTTTTTGAAGACCCGAAGTATTTAGATAAGGAGCACTATTTTGACTATATGTCTCAACGACACTGCCTGATCATCACTGGCCGTTAGCAGGCAGACTGAGTCATGACAGTTTATGTGCCATATGACTGTTTTTTATCCAAGTGAGAGCCCCATCTTTCAGTCTAGTATCCAGTATATTCTCTAAGCTAGTATTAAACTACTGTATTTAACCGTTCAGCTCAGCACAGTGACAAGTGTTTACGTTCTGCTGGTATTTTTACATACGTGGAGCTATAGGCTGCAGACTGGAGTCTCTGCTAACAGACACAATGCACTGTGACAAGGTGGTGACAATATCGTGATTGGAGGCAGGAAGTCCGCCAGTGGACCATGGACTTGGTTTCCCGTCTGATAAGCACTGGTGTGGACAGCAGGGTTCCAGCCCACTCAGAAAAAAGAACTTCCTTCTCTACTTTCCATGATCTCAACTGGATGCAATAAATAAATAAATGACATATTGAACTTTTGACAGGTAAACTATTTCCTGGGGAAGAGAAAGCAAAAAGGATAACGTAAGGTCCTTAACTGAAAGGATTTGATTGATGCAAGAGCATGATTTTCCAAGAGGCAGCACGGAGCAGCTGACGTCAATGAATACTTAGTTTAAAATACCAAATAAACTCGTCAGACTGTGACATGAGACATTTATTGAATTTTCCTTCTGGGATAAATAAAGTATTTTGCAGAACATAAGTAAAATCAGCAAAAGCTGAAAGAAGAAGTCAAGTGATTTGCTCTGGCTAGACTTGGAGCTTGATAAATCACTGTGACTTCATGAACCTGTTCGCTCAGCTTTATTCTGGGTGCACAAGTAGATGAAATGTAAATAAAAGTAGTTTTCAAGCTCTATAGCAACGGGTAAAGTACAACAAGTACCTCTGGATCAAATATTTATAATTTCGTTGCTGGCGACTGCTGTATGAGTGTAAGCAATGCCAAAAATGAGTCCCTGTGCCTTCTCTGCCTCCCCGTCTGTGTGTGTTCATGTTTTCATCACACCGGCTCGGACTCTAAGAATTAATAGGGCAAGTTTGAATTTGTGGAGTTTAAAGTTCGAATGAAGGGTTAAGGAATGCAGTTTGTCAACGAGGGTCTTCATAGAATGTGTTTGAGTTCCTCTCTGAAGGCTGCTTCCAGGTTGTTCTTTGGATTCCTGCAAAAGGTTAGCTTCATCTCTTCTCTACCTGAAGATGGACTGAAAGCAATAAAACAACCTTGAAATAATTAAAATGCATCACTTTGCAACATCGTGTTTTTGTTACAACCACAGGTTGGTAACAATACAAACATCTCGAAGCTTTCTTCATCTTTGTCTTGGCATCTATCCATCCATTATCTATACACCTCACGAGGGTTGCGGGGGAGACTGGAGTCTATCCCAGCTGACTCAGGGTGAAGGCAGGTTCACCTGGACAGGTCACCAGTCTATCACAGGGCTACACTTAGAGACAGACAACCAAGCACACTCACATTCACACCTACGGACAATTTAGAATCACCAATTAACCTCAACATGTTTTTGGACCTTGTGGGAGGAAGCCGGAGAACCCGGAGAGAACCCACGCTGCACGGGGAGAACATGCAAACTCCACGCAGAAAGATTCCGGTGCCCCCACCGGGACGCGAACCGGCGACCTTCTTGCTGCGAGGCAACTTGTCTTGGCATTTTTTTTTTTTTTTTGACAGGACAGTAGAGAGAGAGACAGGAAAGTGGGGAGAAGAACTGGGGAGGTGACCTTCAGCAAATGGCCATGGGCTGGATTTGAAACCACGACCACTGCGTCGGGGACTATAGCCCCAGTACATGGGTCGCCAGCTCAACCAGTTGAGCTGTAGCGGTGGCCCTGGCTTAGCATATGGAGGACCAAAAACTTAGTACTTGTTCTAAATCATTTTTCCTCCCAGTGCATTGCAAAAAAAACTTCAAACAAGGCCATTTGTTTTGTTTTTGTTTTTCAAATACTTCTTCAAACTAAAAATCTGAATTACACTTTATTTCATTCGATGATCAAAAATCAAATCCTGGCTGACCCTTAGTCGCCCCTGCAGAGCCGCTTCTCAGCATCTTCCATCACACAAGATCGTTGCAGCAGACGTCTAACAGCCACGGCCATAGCAGCGATTCATTAATTGAGGCTACTAAGTTTAACAACTTTTCCAGACTCGCTGGCCGACTGCCAGTTTTCTTTTAAATGTTCCTGACTCCTCTTCCTGTTTGGCTGATGAGATATGGAGAAGTACTGAAACCCATCAACCACCGGGGACAACATCAGGCAACTGTGGACATCAAAGCCGGGTAGCAATCAGCTGTTGGTGCCACGCTTTATGTGGGCAGTCCTGTTATAAAAAATTGACTTTGGGGCAGGTTTTATGCTAATAATATAAAATATCCGTGTTATGAATCGCAATATTTCTGCTTCCTATGTGTGCTGGGAGCTTCGGATAGCAATAACAGGAGAAAAAGAAAAGTTTCTTTCCCCTCCTCCTTATTGCAGTGTTTTCATGTCCTGGTTCTCAGCACCAGGAGCCCTGCTGGTTTTCATTCCATCTTTTTAAAGCATGAATTTATACCTTGGGCAGCGAGTGAATGCAAGAACCAGGATTCAGAAGGAATGTATACTGACATTTCTAGTTCAAATGTGTACAAAGGCTACTGAGTATTAACGGCATTGGTTCATAGATGTATGTTCATATGTTCGGCTGTCATTTCAGCCTAATATTAAAGTCTATACTTTCTTGTCTCTGTCTGTTGTGCAGTTGAACACAAATCCCACATAACATCTAATATTTTTCACTCACCAAAGGCCTTCTTGGGCCCTACAAGTCGAAGAGTGAAGGGTATGCCTCTCGGTTGCTCTTTTAGCATCTTAGCCACCTCGTAGTGTCGACAGCCTACGATGCTTTGGTCGTTGATGGCCTCAATGTGGTCGCCAACACATACTGTCTTCAGCCGGTCTATGGTGCTGCCTTCTTTTATCCTCTGAAAGAAAGACAGGGGAATTTATATTACACATTTGTGGTCGAGATATCAGCAAATGTGAATATCCCATATTGGTACACGCTGAAAACTAAAAACACATTTTGACATCCAGGAATAATTGTATTGGTTTAAATGACAAAAACATATTATGTGTCTTTGTTATGGTTAGTAGAACGTTTTAGAAAAGGTTACAAGGAAAACCATTTTAATGCATGGCTTAATCTAAAACTATGTAGGTTCTAGTGCTGGCCTTTGTCATTGTGAGATGGATTCAGGATTAATACAACTGTTCTATTTGTATCACAACACTTTCTTAAAAGTGTGTACCTTCTTTATGTGACTTTATTGATAGCTTGGCAAAATTAAAGTGTGAAAATCTGCACCCTTAAAGTTTTCTGCGACGATAAATGATGAATAATGGCTGAGTCTCGCTACAAAGAGGATTTGCATTTTAAACACTTAGCTTTGAACTTAAAGGTTAGACTGATCAGCTGAAGCTATTCCACTGCGGTCTTTCGCACATAGTCGATGAGACACTTTTCTGTCCTCTAGCCCGTTGCGCTCAGCCTCTCATTCACCTTAATGAAAGCATATCCAGCTCCATTGTCTGTGATGGTGAGACCCAGAGCATCCTCTGTCTTTGTCACCTCCACTTCTTTAGTTTCCCCTCTGACGTGAGCGAAAATAAAGTCCTCCAGTCCAATCTGTCCTCCCAGCAGCTTCTGCATGTCCACTTTGTGAGAGTTGAGGGTGCAGAACAGGATCTGAGAGAAGAAATAAACAAAGAAAATCGTTCCCAGTGCAGAATCCAACATCTTGAACATCTATGCAAAAGTAGAACAGCATGTGCAATCCAGCACAACTTAAAACAGCGACTTCAAACGTCACCATTATGTCCACTGTGTCTAAAGATTTAAAAAGATATTTATCAGTAAGCCATTGGAATGGATAGGGGTACATATGTATTACCATTGCCGTGCTCTGTAGCTCTGTAATAGAGCATTTTCATTATCTATAAAACTGGACAGTTACAGTGTAAGCATTTTTCGTTGGAATTACCCCTTAAATGCATGCCCCATAAAGCAAGCCACTGTTGTAACCCTGCAGAAGGACTTGGTCTGTCATCTTCTATTAGCTGTGCAGTATAGACATTATGCAGCAGAGGGCAGTATACCCAAACAATTAGGAATTGACAGTGTGGCCATTTTGTTTTGAGTCATGAACGAGATAAGCTGAACATAGGTCATTAAGTTTTATAGACTTCAAAACAGATGCTGAAGTCGATAAAAACAAGCCACATCATGCAGATTAATTGCTTCAGTGTGTTTTGTCTGTTTTAGGAGTTTAAAGCAAAAGTCGCGGTCATGGTTGTTTTCAAATGTTGGTTCTTGATAAAGAGTCTTAGGATGTGTTGATACTGATGCACACTAAAAGGGAAGACTTTCTCAACCAAGCATCTAAAAATGTGACAAAATTTCACACCAGCTAATATAAGGCATGTATCAAAGCAAATGCATCCTACATGACTGCATTTTCACATTTGATTTTGCAGGTTTGGACCTGTGACTTTCTACATATCCTCTAGTACATGTATATTTAAAAGGTTTTTTCATATTGTTTATTTTAACCATAGAACCAAAACAGGGCTACGTGATATCCTTCAACTTGAGGTTAAAGTTCAAGTTTTTTTTGATAATCCATAAAGGAAATATAAGATAACCTGAGTGAACTGTTATCTAACAGCAGTTCCTGTTCATGGTTATTCTCTTGGCAAGTGGAGCAGTCTGACTGCAGTCCAAGGTCTTCTCTGGCATTCCGCTGTGCATTAACTGTACGCTGATGCTGTTCAGTCTGAGTGAGGTCAAGGAAACTGTCGCGGTATTCACTATCAACAACCAATTGCCTGATATTTGTCAGACGGAGTTTTGTATCTGGAGGTGTGCATGTAGTTCAAGGTCTTGTAGATATACGGGTTGTTAGAGTAAATAAACGACAACATCAGATGTCTCTACAAAAGAAACGTTAAATAATTACTTATTCGTACAAGAACAAATCAAGCTGAGCGCATCTCCTTATTTATTGTTTTTGCCTCTGTGTTACAGGGACACAATTATTACACAGTAAAATACGTATTTATTGCAATGACGAGCTCTAACCATTGCATCACATATAGGTAGCAGTAATCTGTCCAACTGGTATAGAAACGGTTTCTTTTTTGCTTGTCGGCCATTTGTTTTTTTTCCAAGACAGCTGGAGCTCATAATGGCGAGAAATTACTCTGGACTGGACATCAAATTATCACATTGCTAACAGGAGGAAGGAAAAAAACACAAAAAGTTAAGAGTTTCTTCTTCCACTAGACAAGAACGTGTGAGAGTCACATACACAACATACAATCTCCAGCCAGACCCACACAACTGGTAAATACCTAGAACCTTCTTGTTGCAAAAGAACAGGTACTTAATTTAATTCTAACAATATCTAATTGTTCCAAGTAATTCTGGGTAACACTGTCAGCAAAAAAAGACTGTGCAAATGTAATATTAAAGATGCAGCATGCAACAAAGTTAAGCACACCACTGTGTAATATCACCTGCATTTTAAACATCTCAATGTTGTATCAGCTTACAGTACTTTCATTACTTCTAAGATGAACAGTATTAAAAATGCAGCCCCCCCCAAGTAGAAACTTAATGCAACTTAAGTCAGTGTACCTTTCTATACTAAGAAATCAAATCTTGTATTTTCTTTCAATACTTTTAATGTCCACCATTATTTTTAATAACAGACTCAACCCGTCTTTCTTGAGAAACTATTTTCAGCAGCTCTTTGCCTGAGGGCTGGAGTTACTTTAACTTTCTCTTTAAAACACCACACCTGAATTCAAGTCAAGCAACGTACTTAGCCCGATCGTACGTTTCCCTTTTTCTTGTTTAATTTTGTCAGAGGGCTTTGCATTGTTACCATGCTAGAATATTCCCCTTCTGTCAAGCTTCTGCAGACTGGGAGTTATCCTGTCATCTTGTATCTTGGTGATTCCACAATCATTCATAGTACCATCTACAAATGCCATCTCCCTGAGCACCTTTTGCTCTCATGCAGCCCCACGTCATCACACTTCCATCTCTGTGCTTCATTGTTGGTACTATGCATTCACTGTAATAGTCCTGGAAAACTTCATGCCAAACATGCTGGACCACATACGAGCCAAACAAATTTATCTTGACAACCATCTGACCAAAGAATGTGCTTCCAATACTCATGTTATTTAAGTCTTGCAATTTTGTGATAAAGCACAAGCAAAGGGTTTTTTTCCTTGGACCGCCGTCCATTAGAGGTTAATGTTACGAAATATCCTTTACACTGTCTGAATTGTCAAAGAAACTCTGATTTCCTTTGATAACTCCTGTGCCAAGCATTTGCCCGTCTGTTTTTCAGAGCAAGACTATAGGAGTAGTGTACTGCCCATGGCATTAGGAAGACAGCCACTGTGGCCCAGATTAGTCCCACTATGACAGATTCTACACATCCTGATTACTACTGCAACCCAGTATTACTGCATTACTTTCTATCGCATCGTTGTGAAACCTCACAATCCGGATTTTCAACTCCTATGGCAACTGTTTTTCATGATGCAGACAGACATGGCGCATAGGTCCAAAACTGAGAAAGGTCTGATGTTCACAGGACATTTTATGACCAGGTTCATGGAATAAAGCTAAGGCAGTGATTGCTAACTTTTGTGTCAGTGATCGCAGCTGTATCGTCCATTGTTGCACTGAGTTTTATTTTTTTAGGCCTGTATTTTCAATATAGTCTTTTTGTTTCAATTAGTTTATAAGAGGAAATACTCCACCTGTCAACTTACAAATAAAGCAGTTATTGAGAGGTGATTCTGCTTTGAATCATTGCTCATTTAAGTGAAATTGCACATGAGTATACTCACTGTGGTATGCTATAGATAAATTAGATGAAGGTTTTAAAGTACTTATCTAATGTAACGTCATATTCTGTGTTAATTAGCATCAGTTGACTGTCTCTTTCTAAAGCGGATTTTGCATTTCAGAATTAAAACTTCAAAGGAAACAGAACAATGGGACACAGTCATGGGTGGTGGTTGATTGATAAGCTTATCAAGATTAGTTACTATGGAATGTATGGTGCATTGGTCTATATACCTTCATCTGTAGTCTGCTATGCCAACAAACACACAGATAGCAGAAGCCTTCATGGTGGCCTTCAAAACACGACTGATAGCTATTTGATAAGGTCAGTTCTAAATATCTATTGTTCTGTTGCTGAAAGTGCTAATATATTTTCTGGAATGTAGCAGAACAGCAGCAAACATGCCAATACTCATTTTTTAAATGGTTTACTTCATTCTTTTCCTTTTTTTTACAGTTTACGACGGTAGTATGATACGGAACTACACATAAAATCAGCTGCATTGTTCATACCATAGCCAGGTGTGTGTGTGTGTGTGTGATGTTTTTATGTCATTTATCATATTTTAGTTTAGTGAACCTGCTTCTGGAGACAAATTGTGAAAAAAGCACAAGACAGAAAATCTGTTGCTTGCATCTAAAATACTTTTCCCCTCAACTATTTCCTCCTGCTCATTCTTTGATCGCTCTACTGTTGCTCTGGATAGATGTGAACTAAATATCTGTCTGAAATACTAAAAAAAACTCAAATAAACTGTCTTTCCACGATATCCACATGAAAGTACTTGATTTTGTTCAGCACTGAAAAGCAGTGTCAGGCTTAGACCTAAAGGCTAAAGATTAAGTGTCCTCAAGGATTCTGGCCTTGTGAGCAGCTGCTTGCTGCAGCTGACTGCAAAAGACAGTTTGGGTCTTGTGCAGGGCTACAAGTGAATGATTTAGTTTTGTATTAATTATTAAATAATATAGTCAGGATTGGGGGCTGCAAGGTGGCTCGGTGGTTAGCAGCATAGCACATCTACAATATCCCTGGTTCACATCCCGGTGAGGGCACCTGGTTTCCCCGGCTTCCTCCCACAGTCCAAAAACATCCATCCATCCATTGTCTATACATCGCTTAATCCTCATTAGGGTCGCAGGGGGGCTGGAGTCTATCCCAGCCGCAGTCCAAAAACACGCTGAGGTTAATTGGTGATTCTAAATTGTCCATAGGTGTGAATATGAGTGTGCTTGGTTGATTGTCTGGCGACCTAAATGGTAAATGGTCTGCACTTATGTAGCCTTTTATCCAAAGCGCTTTACACTGTGTTTCTCATTCATCCATTCATACACACATTCATACCACAGTGATGACAGAGCTGCCATGCAAGGTGCTGCCTGCCATTGGGAGCAACTTCGGGTTCAGTGTCTTGCCCAAGGACACTTCGACTGTGGAGGGGCGGGGGGATCGAACCGCCAACCTTGTGACTAGACGCCAACCTTGTGACTGGACGCCAACCTTGCGATTGGAGGACAACCCGCTTTACCACCTCAGCCACAGCCGCCCTGGCCAAGGTGTCCCCTGCCTTCGCCCTGAGTCGGCTCGCCCCATGACCCTAGTGAGGATTAAGCGGTGTATAGATAATGGATGGATGGATGGATGGATGGATGGATATTCAGGATTGATATCAGGGGAGTTTTCTTCCCATTGTTGCCAAGTGCTTGCTCAAAGGAAATCCAAAGGAAACTTTGAATTTCTTGTTTAGCTGTATAAATATTTATCTTCTCCTTACTATATGGGGTCAGTTATGGTGACGTATGTTGTGAATTGCTACTGTAGGAAGAAAGTTGAATTAAAGTAAATTTTGTTGTGTAATCAATTTGTAAAAAAAAAAAAAAAAAAAAAAAGATACAGATACATTTGTGTAGATATTTAAGGTAATGTTACTTCTTGGATTTATTTTATTTTTTTTTGTATTTTTATACATGAGGCTAGTTTACACGTCACGTGGAGTACTACTCACACTGTAGTACTCCATGCGACTGTCCTCTAAAACTCTGGAGGAGTATTGTCAAGTATCACATATGTCCGGTAAATATAAGATCCGCCATTGTTGCAGTTTTATTATCTTTATTTCCAATTAAATAGACAAAAAAGCTGCGGTATTCGCTTGTAACTATTTAAACAGGTTGACATTTGCATCACTGTAACTAAGCATTATCCTATTTTACAACACTTTGTTGTTTCAATAATTTTCAAGGCAAAACTATAATTGCCTGCTCTTGTTTTGCTCTGAAGTCCCATCCATAGCTATAACATGTTGTGTTGCATGTGTGGGTGTTCACAGACAACACAACATTATCTGGTTATGTGTTTCCATTATTGATCCTGGTCAAGGCGCAGACGAATACAAAGTCTGGGAGACAGTAGCAAGGCCAAATGATCTTCAACAGTGCATCATGGAAAAAAAAGCCTAGAATGGAAACCCAACACCTTTTCACAACTGGCCTGAAAGACCAGAAATGCAATACAGGAGTACAACTGAATACTTTTTTTAAAAAAAAACTTCATTATTATCAGGATAACTGGAAAACCCGGTTGGTAATCATATCACATCCATAGTCAGGCTTATTTGTACCTCTGAGGGGGAGATGTTGAACACTTCTGCGATCTTGGCATACAGCTCCTTGACATTGGTGAAACCGTGGATGCGGCCTGTGGGACTCCCATGAGCCAGCTGGGTGTGGAAGATGAGCCTCGGTCTCGGATATTCTGGTGGCCCCGGTGGCGGTGGTGAAGGGGGAGGAAGCGGAGGCGCCGTGGGCTCCACACAACCATGATTCTGGCTCTGGTTCTGGGGCTTCTGCTCCTCCATGGCGTCGGCCCCCGCTGCCTTGGAGTCCTGCGGGCTCATAACCTCCCCGTTCTGCATCAGCCCCAGCTCAGGTTTGGTCCTCCTTGGGGAGCCCTGGTGGTGCACAGCTCTGACAGAAAAAGAAACACTGTCCTTCCCCACGCGTAGCTGACCAACCAACCAACCAACCAACCACCCAGAGCTACGGGTGGAAGAACACTGCTAAATTAGTGATGAGAGTAGCCTGGTAACAGTAGCTGAAAGAGGCCAGCCAGGCTCTGCCAGGTAGAAACCCAACACCCTTTGAGTTGAGGATTGTATGTGTTACACCTGAGACTCTTGCAGCTCACGCACTGAGAACACAAACAAAACGCATCAGCTAAAGGTTTCTTGGTACATACGACACAGTTAAGACTCTAATCCCCCGTATCAGTCTAGCTGCGAGACATGTCGGCAACGCATGACCCTGAATATGTGAACATCCCTCTTAAGTGTGAAACGGCGCAGCATATTTGAAAAATGACTTCCAAAGTGGGCCGCTGGGAGTCAGCCGCAGACAATGTCCCAGTGTTACCGGTAAGATGATATCGCTTGGTTGGCAGTGAGGTGCCCCCAATCGCTGGCCTCATTGAATGAAAGAGGTTGTTGCTGGGGTGAATCCTTGGTGATGCACTGACCTTTCTGACCCCACAGACAGCCTACAGATACGCAAGATGACAGTTTAGGCCGATAAACAGATGTTTAATTCAGGTAGGTAGTTGGTGCTTTTTTTTTACACCGGCAAGGTTTAATAATATTAATTTACGATACGAAAATGTGTGTACACTTGACTTAACCCTTAAAATAAACAGAAATAATACAAAATATCTTAGAGCTGGTAATACACCATATATTGTGTATCTTAATGTTGATATGTTGATTCTATGTAAAGGTAGACGTCCCTATTTAAAATAATAGAAGACAGGGATTGCAAATTTCCCCTTTCTATGTGTGAAGGAGAAAGACTGAAACAGAAATAAAGAGACTAAAATAGCTTGACAAATGTAAAGCTGTTGCCTCAACAGACACAACAATATGTGACAGATATTTTGTCAACAGTCTATTTCCTTGGAATGAGCACCCAAATTCTGTAAAGCCTTGACTATAAGACTCAATATATTCCCATTTTATTCAATCACTGTGATCATTTGCCCTTGACAATTGTATTTGTCTCACTTAATCCCATGTGACGCTTTACTCAGGCAACATTTCATGCTGGGACACAAAAAGCTGTCTGTCTCCCTTTCAGATGTGGAAATTCCGCAAAAAATCACATTTTAAAAAAGCCAGCTGGGAATGTGTCATTAGCAGCGTGATTCCCCTTCGAACGAATGGTTATTTCCAAACAGAATGTAAGGCATGTATTCATAGTGAAAGAGGGTTTGAGCTGCGCATAGCTGGCTGATTTAAATGCCATATGATAAATATATTATCTATTTGAATAGGAAATTCCGAGTGTTAAGATAAAATTGTGTGCTGCCGGGTTGTGACGCATTCTTGTATCTCTTGACAACATGTTTTTTTTTGTCTGACAGATATTATACTGAGCAATGCTGTCATACGTTGGACACATGACTGTGTTTTTTGAAAATAGCATACATTTCTACAGTGTTTTTTTTAACATGCATTTTAATGCAGTGTGTAAGCATAGTATAAGGCCAAACTATATATTCCATCAAGGTAGGTGTACAACCAATGATGCCCTTTATAATGCTGCTTCATAAGCATTTCTGTACACCTGTGATATAACGTAGGTGGCTGCAGCTGTCCGTGCGTCATACCCCCCGGTTTTCCAGGCCAAGGTGTTGCTATAGCCTCCCAAGGTCAGGCTGTTTACTCCAGCAGCTGATAATAAGAATTTCTCTGGCAAAACATTCCTTTTGCAACAGATAATAGGCAGCCTTCCAAAGCAAAGGCCAACTCACTTTCCTTTCTTGCAGAGACTTGCATGCATCCGTATCCTTTTAAAGCAAACAGATGTCTGTGTTAGGCAACATGAGAGATAACAGACTGGATCTGATATTCCCAGATGTGTAACTGATAGCACAAACAAAAATACTTTGTTCAAAATCAGCTTTCATGACATTTGATGTACAGATGAGGGTGTTTGTTTAATGCTGATAATTGAAAAAGTGAATTATACTTAGGCATCATTGCTTGAAGTGTTTAGTTGCTCATAAAAGAATTGAAGCTGATTGAGCTCATGGATGTCTCAGGAAGACACTAATTTGCCTTTTTTTTTTGAATAATTAAAAAAAAAAGTTTAACTCTAACATCAGTACTTTTCAACTATACACCTGTCTTTTGTTTAAAGTGCATCACATTTGCAGTTAATGATAAGGTAGAAAGTTTGTGTTTCTTTAGTAAGAATTTATGTATTTTAAACCGGAACTTTATATTAACCTTTCAGCAACGTCAGCAACAACTGCAAACAATTATGAAACAGGAACGATTCATAAAGCCTGTCAAACATCCCGGACTCAGCAGTGACTGTGTATAATAAAGCAGAACAAAGGGAGAGTAATGAGAGCCTTTAAAGGAAAGCCTATAAAAGGCTTTTTTAGTGTTTGCAGTAGCATCTTTTAAATCTTCCCTTCTTATGTGACTCTCAGCTCATTGGCTCCGAAGACATGGTGTGGGATTTTTTTTATCAATAATGTTGAAGTCATCTACAAATATTGACCAGATCAAGGGTTAGTAGTTCAGGCTCTGTGACTCAGATTGTCAATATTAACAAAATGTGCAGAACAAAAACATTTCTTACCCTGATGAATAAAAACTGTTTCTAGTAGTCTGTTTTCTTCTTTGTTTTTTGCTTTGACGTTCGGAAACACAATTTTCATTCAGCATTGATGGTGTTGGGAGTGAATTTTACACTCATGCTGAAAGTAATGTTTTTTAAAGTTTGAAGCCTATTTATTCTATTTTAACTCTCTGCATTACATTTCACACTCTCTCATATGTCTGTATTAGGATATAGTCTAATAATCCAATGTTTGTCATGTTTAAAATGTAGTATTTGTTTTCATTTTGTGTGGCCTTGAACACATATCCACCTGAAAATGTCAGGAGTATAAAAACATGATCACTAGCTAAGTGATTCTTCCATTTGGTTATCCATAGAACTGCTCTATCTGAACATATTACACTGTCCAAGAATGATATCTGCTCAGCTGTTCTGATGAGTGAATAAATAATGGGTAATTCCAGCAGGAATGTGGTTAACGCTGCTGGTCTATGAGACGGGCTCTCAAGGTTGGAGAGCTATTTTTCATTCCCGAATAAATTTATGATCAATCGTATTACGTCAAACTGACTGACACACCAGCAGGCCGGGGCATATGCGAGCCCTCGATCCTTTATGTGGCCTCCCTCTTTGCCTAATTAATAATCCATCTTCCACACTGATGAGTCAACACAGGAACGCCTGTTGTTGCCTACGTTGCATCTCCACCTCCCAATTGCGTTACACGAGTCCTTATGAAGCATGATTACCTCCTCTCTATCTGCCTTGTTTCCTAGCAGAGGAGGCGGAAGGGAAGACCGGGGGCTGTCAAGTGTGGGCCAGATTGTGTGGAGGTGGCGTGTTTGCTGCTGTGTCATGTGCCAATACACTGAATCTCCTGTTCCTGGTAGCGTGGCAGCGCCTGATCTGCCAAGTGAAGAAAAAAAAAAAGGCTTTCAGAGGATTTCTCTAAACTGATAGTGTTTCTTTTGTGGTGTGCTCAAGGCCTCTTTCAATACAGTGTTGAAAAACTCCCGAGGAAGTAGTGCTGTAATTAGAGTGATCTGAGTGTTAATGGCAAGTCACTGGTTTGTCACGATTTGACAAATCAATGACATCAGTCGTAGATTGGACTCAGAAATGCTTGTATTATTCAGTTTAGCTGTTTCTAATGTGCTTCATACAACCAGGTTTGTAAAAATGTTTCTGTAAGTCTTCAATTTTAGTTTCAGCCATAAAAATATCCAAAATAGTTCATCTTTCCTCAAAACTATAATCTATGTTGTTTATTTTTACTTTTCATTAGGTGCCCTTCTTTACAACTTCCTCACAGGGTTGGGGTTCAGGGTCAGCTACAGAGAACCCTCACACAACTCACTCAAAGCCACTTCAAACAATTACTTTACCTGGTTAAAAAATGTTTTAACACACACAGTAGTCACAAGGAACACACACGCGCAGTCATCCAGTGTGATTACAATGTGACTTAGCTGACGGTCTAAACTTTGGCCTTACAGCTTTGGTCTGCTGATCATACAGAAGGTGTGTGACTTTGCCATTTGTTGCTGCAGTTGCTGCCTTTCTTTTTTTTTTTTTTTCCAGTGGAGGGGGTGGCGAGATCCTTGCCCCTTCTTTAGCTCCATGCTCAATGCTGCCCAGGAAGTGTTTCATACTGTGGCATTAGAATAAAAGTCAGCAATTAATTAATTCATCCTCTGAGCTTCTGGTCTTTGTTTTCCTTCATAAGAACAGGAACAAATGCTCATTGATTGCCTGACTTATTACAAGATTGAAGTGAATTCACTTTGTGACTTAATGGATGCTGCTAGCTTTTGTAGTTCATCAAACCATTTAGTCCTGCATTCACATATGCTCTCTAAAAAGCAGCTATTTGTAGTAGCTTAAAGGTATGCATTTAATATATTTGTATGCATGTATTCTATATCATGTTACTATCACTGATATGAAGGTGTAGCATTATTTTACCTTAACAGAAATTAAGCTCTCTGTAGCAGCCCCACCCTGGTGTATCATTACAGTAATTTTCTCTCAGATTAAGTTAAGTGTGATAATGGCACATGAAACTCACATGTTAAGCCACAGTGTGTACTCCCCGTGTTGTTCACACGTGAAATACACAGGTAAATGATTGATTAGGAGGACCACACTATCACAATAACAACACAGGCCTACCTTTTGTAGGTCCTGAGAATGGGACAGCCCGTCTACCATATAAGGCAGTGGGCGGTCGGTGGAAGCCAACAACCCCACTGTGATTGGACGACGAGTCTGACATGACCGTTTTTTCCCAAGT